AAATTTTTCAGTATTTTCGTTATCAATGAATATCTATAGAAAAATGTATCGAGTTAGATGTATGTGGAAAATGGATATATTTAGTTTACCCTCTAAACATTTATAGAGGTGCTACAATAGGTTGTACAAAATAACAGGACAAAGTCTATAGTAACTAGATAGAAAAGTCATGTGTTGGACATATCAGATTTTTTGTTTGTTGTAGTATCATTTTGAGGTAATAAACTTTTTTTAAAATGAAAATGTACTTAATTAAAGTTATTCTGTGGAATTGGTAACCATACCAACCAAACACATTTAAATTTCACGGCCAACTCCAATTTATGATTTATCTCGATGGCTGGTTAAATTTAGGTATGTCAACATTCGAAAATATTCTTCGAGCAGATATATTATCAGATATATTGAAAATAATGTGACCCAACTGGAACGTGGGTAAAACAAGAGACATTGAAATTTCTCCCCTTCTCCCTAATCTACAACTTTACACCGTCAATGAATTACAGTATAAAAATTGGGAGCGTCAATAATTCACTGCGGCACATTCCTCTTTATCTGTTGATTTATCTGCGGGTGAAAAGTGATTAGTGATATCAATCTCTGGAGAGACGAATTATTTTTTATGGTCCTTCTAATCCCGCGACCATATGTGCAGAATTTTCACGACCATTCGGAATGGCTACAGAAATAATAGTCTTAGTCAACACGTTTTCCGTTTTGCCAGATTAATTTTTTAGGATATACGAGGACAGTTCAAAAATTATAATTATAAGTTGCACTGCGGCAAGGGTTTGGAAAGTCAATTGTTGCTAGCGTCGCATAATTTTTGACAATGACAACTGATAACAAATTTGTGCATTTTATGAATAATTTCGTGTTTCGTTTATATAAAATGCAAATGGAATCTTTTGTAATCGTAGCAAGTGTCAAAATAATGTGCTTTATGTAACCAGTTACATAAAGTTACCATTATGTAACTGGTTACGAAAAACTGTCATCACTTGCGAGAAGAAAATAAATAAAAATAAACCTTTCTTGGTTTTAAAACATATATCCTTATAAAATTTTAATCAGTCGTTAAATTGTATCTACTTAAAATTTATGTTCATATTGGTAAATATTAGTTACAAATACCACACGAGGTGAGAATTTTTTTTTTTGAGGACATTATCCTGTGGTATTGTCCTTGAAAATTTTTGAAAAATGTTTAAAGGTAAGGTTGAATGATTATCTAATAAAAAACTATATGTTAATTGAAAATCAATATGAGTTTAAACAAGACATTGATGCAATGTTTTAACTTCTGCTGTCAATACACTTCCTTGACTCGGTTATCACAGATGTGGCTGACTGGGCAGATGAAGAATACGATTGTCAAACTGCCAAACACATTGTAGACGATGACAAAATTAGATGGACACTAGCTAGCTTCTCTCTATTTAAATCGTCAGGACCTGACGGTATCTTTCCAGCCCTACTTAAGTGGGGTCTGGAAGAACTCTCACAAAATTAGATGAAAAAAAAAAAAATTCTATTAAAAACAAAAACTGGGGCAATTTTTACAAAACTAATAACACTGATGAAAAAACAAACATACTAATTAACAAAATAAATGACTCAATAACAAATGGAACTATCCAAATTATTTATTTTAATAAATTTAAAAAAAGACAAACGTGGATTACACAAGGTCTGATGAAATCGGCAAAACACAAAGCAACCTTATATCTTGTTCAAAAAAATAATCCGGAAAATAAGGCAAAAAGACTAGAATATAACAGATATAAAAACTAATTTAATAAACTTATAAAAAAAAACTAAAGAAGATTATTTTATTGATAGAATTAGAGACAGTAAAGATAGTGAAACTCTATGGAAAATCGTGAATACAACCTGAAAAAATTGATTGAATTGAAATAGATAAAAACAATGTTAAATTAACTGAAAAAAAAAAGATGTAGCAAACTATTTCAATGAGTATTTTACTAATGTAGGTAAAACCTTGGCAGAAAAAATTTAAAAACTAAATATAACATGGAATCGAAAATATAGTTGACAATCGCCTTTTTTTCTGCCAACGTGTGAAGAGGAAATTGAAAATGCTATAAGAGATCTAAAACCGAAAAAAGCACCAGGAATAGACGGAATAACTAGTGAACACTTATTACTTATTAAGGAATTTATAAAGAAACCTCTTACTCATTTAGTAAATGAAATATTTCTAAAGGGTCAATTTCCAGGACCTCTAAAAACGGGTTTAGTTAAGCCTCCACACAAATAGAGCGATAAAAAAAAATACTTCCAATTATAGATCAGTATCATTAATAACAAATATTACTAAAGTTGTGGAAAACATTATAAAATTGCGAATAGTGTCCTTCCTGGAAAAAAATCATAATATCGGAACGACAATTTGGTTTTAAGCAAGGTATGTCAACAGAAGATGCTATAACATTTCTAACTAATAACATTTATAAAAAAACTTTATTTTGAGTATTTTTAGACTTAGCGAAGGCTTTCGATACCGTTGATCATAAAATATTGATCGATGTATTAGAGGACCTAGGTTTCAGAGGAGTAATAGCAAATATATTAAAATCTTATCTAGCTAACAGAGTCTAGTATGTCAAAATTGAAGATAAGCTGAGTGATCCATGCATTGTAACATATTGTGTTCCACAAGGAACAGTACTGGTGCCCATTCTATTCTCCATATATATATTAATGGTCTTTTAGAGATAAGAAGCAATGGTACCATATCGTCTTTTGCTGATGATACCGTTATACAATATTCGGATAAATCTTGGAAACTGGTAAAAGAAAAAGCCGAGAAAGATCTAGTCAATATAAATTATTATACCCTTTTCATGTAACAAAAAAATACCAAATTTTAAAAAGCTAACTTTAACTCAAAATCATAATAAATTAGAAATACAGGAGACAAATAGTTGTAGATATCTGGAAATCGAAATTGACAGGTTTTTAAAATGGGATGTACATATATCATCATTAATTAAAAAAAATAACATAAATATTGTATAAATTTAGAAGACTTCGATCAATTTTAAAAACTGATCATTTAAAAACAATTAGTACATTCATTACTACAATACGGAATAGCAGGGTGGGGAGGGACATGTAAAAAGCAAATTAAAAAATTATAAACTATCCAAAAAATGTTTATAAAAATTATTCCAAACAAACCTAAACGATATGATACTAACCTATATAAAAAAAGTTATCTTATGGACATTAATCAAATATACATGTTTAAAATATTGACCCTACAACAAAAAAAAGAAAATATATGTTAAAAAAAAAGTATATCATGATCACGACAGTCGTTATAAACACAATCAAATAACGCAAACCGCAAAAGCACAAAAGACCATAGGTGGAAGATCATTTTATTTTACAGCAAAACATATATCCTCATATTCGAAATAAATTAAAAAAAAGGGCCATCTCTTCGTCTTCGGCACTTTATTTACTATCAGGCGAAGGGTCGAAAAAGAGGCTGAAGCGGGGCTTTGCAAAGGACCCTTTTCCCTCCCAAGTAATGCCAACAGTGGAGGCCGCCGAGCCAGAAAAAATAGCAACCGATGATTTCCAGCAAGAAAGGAGCCATACGATATTACCTCCTTCCCACTTTTGGAGGAAGGGATGGTCGAATAAGTAACCACTTTGCTGTCCAAACTTCAATGGGAGACCGGGAAGCAATTGAAAAGGTAAAAATGATACAAGGTAACTTGCAGCATAGAAGGGTGGCTACGCAACATTATGCCGCCGCCTTGATGAGCGACATGATACAATAACACTCATCCAGGAACCCTGGATAATAAATATCAAAATTTTAGTATTTAAATGATTCAATTTTAAGTCTTCCCAGCAACCAACAACCTAGCACAACCATTAACGTTCCTAGAAAATACAAAGCCATATTTAAACATTTCTAGAACTTCCCGAAATATCGAGTTTTCGTTATATTATAACACTTTTTAATCTTATGTAACTTTTGAAATAGTTGAGAAAATAAAAGGCAGTTTTTTTAGTATTCATCTTTTTTTGACTTGCTTCCAATATAACCGAATATGAAATTTCAGGGATAGGACAACTTATGTTGTATATTTTTTCAATTTGAAAGTCCATTGTTTGCACTCTCCGAAAATGCCATACTTCGCAGGGTAATTATACAAGGTGATCAATTTATTCGATTTCAAAACATATATTGTCATTTACATGTTACCTGCTTCAGTTACTATTTTTCAAGATGTACATATAAAATTTGATCTAACAAAAATAAAATAGCAACAAAAATAATATGCAGTATTTATTTTAAGAGCGTATAAAACCATCACCCCTTGTAACAAATATGAAAGTATGGCACTTTAATAAAGGAGAAACAGTGGGCTATTGAAATTGAGAAAAATATTTAGAAATAACAGTTGGCCTAGCTCCAAAATTACAGAATGTCATTTCTGTCGGAGGGGAGCAGAAAACGACAGGTACACAGAAAAAAACTTATAAAAATTAAAAGCAGATTGCTGAAAAAAGCATTTAGTTATTTCAACTAGTTCAACAGTTACAGGGTTTTAGAAAGGTTCAAGTTTTTGATTGCATGTTAACAATATTAATTTAGTAAGTTTCCATAAAGTACGGCATATTAAGTTTATTTTTCAATTTTAGAGTGAAATAGATTCAAACTTGCCGAAAGGTATCAAATATTTAACAAACAAATTTAAACCATGGAAAATAAATAAAAATAATAAATATATATATGTGCTATTTATTCTAGAAACAAATATATAATTATAAAACTTTTCTCTACAATTTTGTTTCCTGTACTAAATTAAAATATAAAAATAGTGACTTGGAGCCCACTGACTATAATGACAAATACCCCGTGTCAATAAAATCTGAAATAAACCATTTTCGCCCACTCTTAAACACCTTTTTCGAAGAGAATCTACCCAGGGAACTCCCCCCTTAGTGGGGATAACATGCGAAAAGGGGAAATTTGTCTATATAAAAGTAAGTATCAGCGCGTTCTACTCTCATTTGGCGGGGTTTGATCATTTCGAAATATTCCGCACCCTGCGCCTCTCTCTCTCTCTGTCGTCTCTCACATTTCAAAATACACACGCACGTTGAAAGTTTTTGAACGAGTGCGCGAGTTCCTTAGTCGGCCAACTTTCAAAGTAAGTTTTTCAATATTTGTGTTTGATGTTGTCGTTTAACTTTTTCAGATTCGATATTTTGTTTTGTGTAAATTTACAACTCTATTCTATAATACCGGGAGTTTTCTAGCAAGTTTTAAACAAACTTTGCGGTTCTGGTAAACGTTTTGAGACCAAAGTTGATATGAAAAGTTTGTATATAGTGTAAGTCAAGCTTTTAACAGTTTACTTTCTATATAAATAAATAAAAGTTCTTTGGTTGTACCGGTAAAAAATTTTTAATTTGAAAAAAGTTCAAAAAGCTATATTGCAAACTATCGACCCATATAATTTTGACAAAGTATTTTAAATTTTACTATTCGAGAATATAATACCACATGTCAAACATCAGATAGTGTAAGAACAACATTGTTTTTGTAAGAACAGGTCAATAATAAATCTTCTCATTTCCACAATACAGTTGATGGGATGGTCAACTAGACGTAATATACAGGGTGTCCCGAAATTAGACGGTCATATTTTAACAGCGTAATCTACATACTAAAATAGAAGTAAAAGTTCATATAAATATAGGTCCAAAAACGTTTCATTTTCGAGATAGAAAGTAGAGTCCTGACACATTTTTGTAAATATTTTCTAAACGTTAAAAGATAACTAAGTGAAATTTGGTACAAGTGCTAATTTTTACCCTATGTTTTTTTGTTGATAGTTTTTAACATTTTTGAATACAAAGTTTGGAAAACCAATGTTTTCTTTAGAATTATCAAGAGAAAAGCGTTTAAAAATTTCATACTAAGTTTATATTATCTTATTTGAAAGTGCAAACAATAGTTAGTAGGCCTGTGGAATCAGAAATTTTATTTTTTTTCAGCTTTGCAAAACTGGTGACTAAAGAAATTTTACAAAATTGTGACATCAGGACTTCACTTTTAACACCCTGTATCTCGGAAATGAAACGTTTTCGGACCTATGTTTATATGAACTTTTACTTTTATTTTAGGATGTAGTAGATTGCGCAGTTAAAATATGACCCTCTAATTTCGGGAAACCCTGTATACGGATTTTTCAAAGGCTTTCAACGGACTCGATCATAAATTATTTCTTCAAAAATAAAGTTTGTTGAAGTGAGTGGTTTTGAGTCTATCGATATCTTACTAACCTCTGGCGTCCCTCAAGGCTCGATTCTAGGACCGCTGTTATTTATACTATTCGTAAATGAAAATGTAAAATATTTAATTCACGCATACGATGTTAATTTTTTTATGAGGTAGACATCTTAAATGATTGCCTTAAATTACCAAGTAATATTGACAAAATAAATAATTGGCGTTTGATAAATAATAATATTCCTTTAATTTAAAAAAAAAATGTAATGTCGTTTCATTTATACTAAACAATATTTTCCAATTTTCTGGATGGTGTTATATTAAACAGGTCTGATTTTGTTATTGATCTTGCTGTAAAGTTTGATAGAAAACTTACTTTTAAGAAGAGTATTTACTTCGTTTTAAAGCAAAGCATGCAAGGGTTTCGTAGTACCCCACTTTTAAAATTTATTTTTGACTTATTCTAAAAGAAAAAAATATGTGCGTGTGGGTAAAGGTTAAATTTATGCTCCTTGGAGATAATTTTTCAAAATTTGAAACTGTTAAAAAAAATTTCTTCAATTTTTTTTATAAAAAAATTAAATTTAATTTTGAAAAAGTGGTTTCAGAGGAGCATAGATTTAACCTCTATCTACACATACATATTTTGTTCTTCTTAAAATAGTCATAAATAAACTTTACAAGTGGGGGGGTACTACGAAACCCTTACATTGCAAGATTTTTCGTCTGGAACGCGGCGCTTCTGTTAGATTTTTAAGAAATTAATATTTGTGAATGAAAACAATTTATATTTTACTGATGTTTTACGAGGGACAAATAAATGTTACGTATTTGTACACCTTATTGTTTTACGTAAATCATTTCTGTAATACTAAGATCGACCTATTATATAATACGCAAGGCTTTCATAGTACACCAATTTTACGGATTATTTTTTATTTTACCTACAAGAAAAATTATGTAAATATAGGTAAAGGCTCAACCCGTACTCGTCTGAAGTTACTTTTTAAAAATTTGAATCGGTTTCTTTTGAAAAAAATCTAATAAGATGTCTTTCTAACGAAGAAACATACAAATAAAATTGCAATATATTTAATTTTTACCTTCAGGAGCATTTATTTTTTTACAATAAAAACATACGTTAAAAGCTTTTTCGTCTAGAGTGTGACACCAACAAAATATATATCCTTTTCTACTATTTACAAGTGATAAACAGTACGCAAGTGATTTGAATTTATTTTGTTTTATGTCTGTACACTTTATTTTTTACATACAGTAATTTCGCTCAATTATTTTAAATTAATTTTATAATTTATTTATTAAAAAAATATATTCGAAATTAAAAGGTATACAGTGAAATGTGAATTATAAATTTTATATTGCACGGGAGTTTTTTAATGAATACATCTTCGAGTTAAAAATAATTAATTCCAGAATGTTAACAACTCTTTGATTTGTTAAAGTAATGTATATGTTTTCAAACTAAGTAACTAATTTTTCATGCTTTCACGCGTGGCTTTGATCTGTCGCACTCTTTGATACGCGAGATCAAGCTGATAAAAATGTGTCACTACTTCAAAATTTGAACGTCTTCTTTAAAACATCTCATAAATTTTTTTATTTTTGCTAAAGCCACCCAATATGGCTTGGACAAAATAAGATTTGGAAATTTATTTAGAAGAAAAAGCTTTTAAATATGGACTTTTTAATAATTCCGAATTTGATTATGTTGCTGCCAGTCCGGATGAAGTTTAAAACAAAAATCATAACTCTATGACAGAGTTAAAAAGTAGATATGGAGCTAGGGTGCTGACTGTAGAAGAAGAAATATGCAGTAGAGAAATAACTTTTTCGGAAAAGAACAATACCATTAAGGAGAACCACAATAATTGGTATTTTCAAATTCAGGGCTAGCTGCACATTACATAAATGGAGTTTTGCATTTTGTGCGTTTGAACTCTTCAAGGAATAAAAGTGGAGAAAATTCCTCATAATGACAGCTTTTGAGAAGAAGAGGCAAAATAAAATTCAAAATTTTTATATGCAATATGCCTTATCATAATTAGTTGACAGCAGAGCTATTAGAGACATGAAAGTACGGGACAGAATGTCAAATAAATGATGAGAAATTTTGTTTAATTTTTATTAGCATGACGAAATGAATCTTAAATTATTTGGAATATGTTTATTAATTTAAGAGTTACACTTTATTTATTTATTTCTAAAACATGGTAGTAAGCGATCCATTTAAAATATAATTATTGTCTTATTATTATAATTATAAATTTTAATTTTTACCAGTGGCAGTGGCAATTGATAATATATAATTAATATAATTATTATACCAAAAATTTTGACAAGTGGACCACGTTTTTAATTTCACAAATAATAATATCGCGATTTTGATTCGGATTAGTAATTGTAGCGTAATTATTTATAACTTTAATAACTTCATACGATCAAAAATTTTTGCTAACTTATTTAATTCTAAATTTAAATTGAATTTCATTTTAAAAGTTCATTATATTGTTTAGTTGTTTCAACTTTACTGCTTAAGTACCGTTCAGATTAAAATATAAATTAATTTATGGAGCTTTATTGAAAAACGAGAACTAATGCTTTCATTCAAAAAAAGTAATATTGTCAATAGAAGGAATTTCGAACTGTGATATCTTCAAGCCCTTATTTAAAACCTTTAAATATTAATATTATCATTATACAAAAGTTATCTTTACAAATTGTTACATAAACTGAACTTAAGTTTGTTAACATAAACATTATTTTCATAATACAAATAAATAAAGGGTGTTCCAACAAGCGTTTCCGAGTGTTGATAATAAATAAAAGAAAACGTTTACAACATAAATGACAATTTTTTGTTGCAATATGAAGTATAAATCTTAACAGTTATACGTGGAATATAATATCTGACAAATGGCCACCACGACTTCTCTGGCAGGAAACAATTCTTTCGTTGAAATTTTCCATAACATCTGAGCACATTTGTGGTCTAATTTGCGTCAAATAAAAATATTGTCGCAGTACCTTGCAGTAGCCTGCAACTGTTATAGGAAACGTACGAATAGAAAAAGAAGTGGAATGCTTCTCATCGCCCTACAGTATGCTGCGGTCGTCATAAGTAAAAGTACAAGTAAAAGAAGATAGAATATTCCAGAAATGTCTGGAAATGTCATTACCCGTCAAGAATATTCTAGACGACAGTTCGAGAAGGTTCGAGAAGGGTCAAGCAAGCTATATAAGAATGATCCTGACGTCAGTTTTCAGTTTGATGATAGACGTTACATGTTAATGTTATCAGTTGTATAATTGTTGTTAAAGTTGAGTTGAAATAAATTGTTATACCAAAAACCTGTGTAATAATAGCTTCTTCTAGCTCAGGTGTTGTTACTGTTCGTGGTCTACCAGGAACTACCCGATTATGCTCAAAACTACCGGTTTCACTCAATCGAGCATGTATCTTTCTAAACGTATTAGCACATGGCGTTACCCTATTCGGATAACGTTGCTGATGAATTCTTCTAGCTTTCGCTGAATTCCCATTTGCTAAGCCATAAATGAAGTGCATTTGAGCTGTTTGAGCGTCAGTAAAGTTATTCATTTTAATGTCTGACATACAAATAAATAAACAATTGGCGACTAGTAAAATATTAAATAAGTACCTGCGAAAAACTTTTATGTTGAACATTGTTCAAAGAGATTAAAAATAATAAAAAAATGTACTCTCTTTGTTGCTCTTTCTTCCAAATCGAACATTAAAAACAGAACAGTGGCGTAACACGTTTTTCCTTCCATATTTTTCAGCGATTAGTTTGATTAAAATATCTTAAGTGGTATTGAAAATATTTAAAAAATTGTATTTTATTTAGGAAACTTTCACACCCTGTATTTTCGTAACGAAGCATTTTTGAGACATAGTGTATATGACAAAAATACCTTTATTTTAGCTCCAGAATACGGTACTTATCGAACACCCTGTATATTAAAAGAAATATTTTAAAACCATTAACCCTAACATTCTAACTCAAATGGACAATTTTTATTAAATAATTCAAAGGCAGAACAGGAAACATTTCTTTTGCCATAGCACTTTACAATATAAATTAAAATAACAAGATGAATTGAAAGGCTTGTCTCCTGACTCGATGTAATTTTAAATTAAAAGCCTTTTTCTTCCAAAAACAATGCCCCAAAAATTATTTTCTTTATACGTCTCCTTAAGAATAAATCATAGAAGTAATTATTTACGACGCAAATAAATTAAAACTTGTGTCTCATTAGCTGTCATCCGCAGAAAAATGTAAGTGAATTGAAATTTATGATAACGGAGCTAAATATGAGTCGCGGCCAACATAATACTTTCTGTGTTTGTTTGAGAAGAAATAAATAATAATCCGGGTACGTTTATTCTTGATGTTAAACATCCTATTGAAAAATTAAATAAATAGTCAAGAATTTGTAAAATTATGTTAGATTTTAAATGATACAAAATACCCTAATTTTCTTCGAAGTAAACCATTATGTTTTTGAATGGATTATTTTAAGCTCGCGCTAAGTCTGTGTTGTGTTATAAGAAGAATTTTAACCTGGTAAAAGTGCTGTAATTACCATATTGTTGCGTTCAAATTGTCCACGACATGGACGTCGCATAGTTTTTCTCTAAAAGGAGTTCGGGTTACTACTGCTATACCCAAGTAACATTTTTAAGAGAATAAAGTTTTATGTTTTATTAGGATTTTGTAAAAGCATAAAAATTGATAACTATTTTATTACAGTTATTTTTTTTGCTAATAGGACTGCAGGATAAATTGATCTTATTACTTGGATTCATAGATTCCTTTAAATCTGTTTAGGAAAACTAGTTTATCCTAAAGTAAACTATGCTTTATCGCTGTCCTGTAAGGGTTAATTAATAAGTAATTTTACTACTATTTAGTTTGAAGATACTCCTAAGGTGTGTTTGGTGTTAAAGAGGCATACTTTTTAGCAGTTATCTTAAGTAGGTTTTAAAACTTAGTTTTAAAAAGTATTTTAGTATTATACTTTAAATTAAATTGATCACAGAACCTTTTAGGTACATTTTCTGCAATTTTATAATTTGTTTTATCTAGTAAACTATAGGGCTCTTTTAAAACTACATAGTTTTAATAAGAACTAAAGTGTGTTTTAGAGTATAACCTAGCTTTTAAACCCAATCTCATTATGTTGACGTTGAAAGATAAATTGTTCAAAATAAAGAAAAGTGCCAATTTCCATAGATAATGTCAAAAAAATGTATATGCTTCTCCTTCTCCTCAGCGCCCAGTGTTTGATAAGTTCATTGTGTTCCATTGTTTAACAAATATCAAAACATTTCTAGGCTCCTAATATTCTGAAAATGATCAGTGAAAGTGAAAAATGGTTAATATATTATTACTAATTTTCATATTTTGAATGACTTGTTCATAGATTAAATAAGAAGCTTAAGAATGAGGTTATGTTATGCCAGTCTGATTAAACTTATGAATGTTTTATTGAGGTTTTCGTTTTTACTATTGTTTTATGAAACGCTTTAAAAAGTGTAGCAGGAGCTTTTTAAAACTGGAAAGTCCTAAAAAGTATTTTTTTTTGCTTTAATAATTTTATAAGCTAACGTCCGTTTTTAGGTACAGATAGAACACAATGAGGAAATCCTTCATTTTAAATATGGCAGTGGCTGTTTAACCACTTAAATCTTTCGATTTTAGTAATGACGTATTTTGTGTACCAAAGTGTGTCAATGACAACAGTGTGTCAATGACAACAGTGTATCAATGACAACAGTGTGTCAATGACAACAGTGTACCAATGACAACAGTGTGCCAATGACATTGATTTATTATTTATGATTGCGTTTACTGCGTTTAATCACATAATGGATATATAAATGTAAATTATATAAGAATATACTATGATATAATGTTATACAACTCTTGCCTCGCCTAAAGAAATTTATGATTAAACACAAAGTTTGTTTCTGATAGTCCAGTAGAAAGTATGTGCAATTGAAAATGGTTTTCTGACGATGATAAGTATCCATGCAAAGACAAATTACAATAGGATTTATATTGACTTCCATAAAATAATTTGAAAAATACAAAATGTGATATTTTATAAGAAAAACATATCGAAGAAAAATGTAATCATTTTATAGTGCTATATATACGATATTTACAATGTTATTTTCTATTAAATAACTTTCGGTGAATAGACTAGAATCCGTATAATAATCCTTTTTTACGTATATTTCATATATTGTAAGGCCCATCATTTATTACGACCCACCTTGCCCACTTTTAACAGTACCTTGGTGTGTGTTTGAAAATGGAAGAAATAACAAGTGTAACTAAACAAATTAAACATATGCTATATAATAATTACTTTCTAATATGGCAGTCTTCCCAACATGTTTGCAAAATCATTCTGTCAGAGAGTATGATAAAACAGAATAAAGCTAAAACAGTTTAAAATGTAACTCTCTTAAAACTGATTAGTTTTGTAAAGTTTTTATGCCTATATGCTTATATTATTATCATAATATTAAAAAAGATTTAAAAATTATTTAATAAAATTTTTAATATACTCTTTCGGACTATGTCTAATTAGTTTTAAGATATTGTTTTAATAATACTCCTAAGAACCGTTATAGGATTCTTCCTTTTACTCTTAAAGCAGATTTATAGAAGCCCTAAGGCTATCTCGCGGATTCAAAAGTTTTATCAGTGTCTTAAAAAAGGGTTTTATGGTTACCTTGTATACTTTGATAAATCTAAAAATGTTACTTGGGTAATACGTATACTTCTTCCATTATTAGAATTTTATAAATATAAATTTATATAATTTTGATCAAAGGAGGGTATGTTTTTAATTAGGAAATTTGGGCGGTCTCTGACAAAAAAAATTTAAATATTTTAAATGCTAGAAACGAGTAATGTCAATAAATTCAATGTGGCAACGTTTCGTTTTAATTATTTTAATGAATAATTGTCAGAAGTGACATTTTCTTGTTATTGTTAATAACAAAAAGTGTGAATCGTTTTCATTTCAATTCGTTTATAATTTAATTAGCATATTTTTTTATTATATCGCTTTCTGTTCAGTTCGTTTATTATTTAATTAGAATAATTTTTTATTGCATCATTCTCTGTTCAATTCGTTTATTATTTAATTAGTTAGAATACCTTTTTATTTTCTGTATCTATATTCGCTATGCTATGCTACGTTTCGACGACAAGGTAGAATAAAGCAATGTTTATAGTAGCAACAGGAATACATCTTGTTTGTTTTTATTTTTAAGGCAATGAAATAAGACAACCTAATATCCAACAAGATCCTATTCCCATCATTGAAAGTGTGTACAACGACGAGGTAGACATTGAAAATGGTGTAGGGAATGGCGAAAACATTAGAAATGTACCGCTAAAACCTGCCAAATAATCAAAGATCTTGTTACGTGTGCGGTGTTATTAGATGGCAGCGTATTTCAAGGGAAGCTGTTCTCAAGGTATGGATTCAAAACCGGATATTTTGCAACTTGGGGAACCGATCATGCCCGGAACATTTTGAGAATGGTTACTTTTCTGAAGAATCTGTTGCTCTATTGCGATTGCGGGCTGCTCCTAGACAGCTTACTCATGGTGACAATGAATGTTTAATTAATCTGCTCACTGATCGCGTAGTAGCTCTTAAAGAAAAAAGCAAGATATTCGATTTTGATAATGAAAATATGGATGATGACTATTGCAAGTGCTTAACCGGATTAAGTAAAGCGTAGTTTGCAACGGTTGTAGGTAACTGCAAAAAAATTGCGTACCATAGAACGGGGTAAATTGGGGACAAATTTGAAACATTTTTTGCTGGTACTTCAAAGATGTATTTATTATATACCTTATATGTCTCCATAACCTCTCGTAACACAACGTAAACGACCACCGCTAGCTTCCTTCTCGAAATTTGAAAAGCACCGTTTGCGCATGGTTCTTAGAGTTTCTTTGGGCAACCAGTCGTCATAAAACTGATTCGTTTGGATTCAATCTTTTTTATGGTGTATCGAATTCAACCTGCTAGCTTGTGCCGATAAATGTATTAAATTAGTTGCTAGTAATTATCTGTCTTTTATGTATTAATTGTGTGTTAACGTTGGGATAACTGACAGGTAATGTTTCTATTGCCTTATATTATTCACATTTTGCTGGATTTCGTTGGAAAATCGAAAAGATCGGCCATTTGCTTTTTTTTATTACCACCATGCCGATGAATGCTGGTTTATTATTACTGCTTTATTTTATTTTATATAGCTGCCCTAACTAATAATATTTTTAAGCTTTCTTTGATACTTTGATATATACGCGTGGAGGCAACTAAATAATTGAATTACAAGTCAGTCTGTAAATACAGTTTAAACAGAAATTTATGGCTCTTACCTTATTTTGGCCTTATAAATGGCTTATATTTTGTTTAGATGATGTAAAACTTAATGTTATAACTTATTTTGGCCTTATAAATATTTTATATTTTGTTTAGATGATGTAAAACTTATTGTTATAACTTATTTTGGCCTTATAAATATTCGATATTTTGTTCAGATGATGTAAAACTTACTGGTATAACTTATTTTGACCTTATAAATATTTGATATTTTGTTCAGATGATGTAAAACTTATTGTTTTAACTTATTTTGGCCTTATAAATATTTGATATTCTGTTCAGATGATGTAACTTTAGTATTTGTCGTGATATTTTATATTCTGTTCAGACGATGAAACTTTAATATTTGTCCCGATTATGCATAAATCCGTTAGATTTTCATAGCTTTAAGAAACAAGAAGCTCCAAGAAGCTCCAAGAAGCTCCAAGAAGCTCCAAGAAGCTCCAAGAAGCTCCAAGAAGCTCCAAGAAGCTCCAAGAAGCTCCAAGAAGCTCCAAGAAGCTCCAAGAAGCTGCAAGAAGCTCCAAGAAGCCCCAAGAAGTCAAGAAGCTCCTAGTTGCTCCTAGAAGCTCTGAGAAACAGGAAGTACCGAGTTACGTAGTTGCTCCAGGAAGCTCCAAGATCTAAGCTCTGGGAAACAGGAAGTACCGAGTTACGTAGTTGCTCCAGGAAGTTCTAAGATCTAAGTTCTAAGAAACAAGTAGTCCGAGTTACATAGTTTCTCCAAGTTCCGAGCTCAAAGCCCAAAGTATCGAAGTACCTAAAGGCGGATTGTCCTCGACACGACATACTAAAGGGAAGTACCGCACTCACCGTACTAGAATGCCACATGGTCGGGACAATTAATAATTATCTAAGTATCTAACAGTAAATTTTATTCATTCATATAAACTATCAGTCAATTTTAATTCATTTTCTATTCAGATTTAATCACTAACTAACTATAAATTTTTTATATGTAAAATTTCACTCTTTTTACTTTTTTTTATTAAATGTATTAAATTTTCTTACTTTCTTGTATTTGCCAGAACTCATACAGATACCCTTAAGTACCAGAGATTGATTTAATTAAACAGAACATATCAAATCAGATAAGTTTTTCAAGTTACTCAAAAACTTGGAGGTGCTCAAAATTTTTTTTTGTCGTTATCATATTATAATATCTCTGATTTTATCGTAAAGTAGACTTTTTTGGCCCGCGAACCGGTCAAGCTACTCTGATTTCATTTGTCCTGGTCAATTTATGAATCCACGCAGTATCAGCAATTTGAGCTAAATCGCCTCTTAAGTACAATTTACATCGAAGAAATCTAAAAGAAGGTAACAGTAATTAAAGCGGTTTTTGGAAGACTTCAAAATAAGTTTCGGTTTCTAAGAATGTTGTGCCAAACAGTTACGGATGTGAAACATTTGGAAGCACTTTTAAAGTAATATGTATTTTATTCAATGCGTTTTTTGTGAATATAAATGAAAGTGAACCTAAAGATGACACATTCTGTGGCAAGGTTTTAAAACGTTTGATTCTCCATAATACTTTATTAGACAGAATTAGAGATGAACGCATAATTCAAGGTAGAATTGATTGGCCGCTGGTAGACGGATTTATTGGCCTTCAAGATTTTCCAGTTTTATCGGAATATGAAATTCAGGATTTAACAGTCGGTACATACCAGATTCAATTATCGTACAGTTATATGTCGTCACATATAAACAACGGCAACTATTTGGTAAGACTATATCGTCAACCCAATGCCGAAAAGATAATACTCATCTGATAAGAGCCTCAATACCTTCAAGGTTTCAAGTTGTTACCGAAAGAAAATGCTTTATTGAATATAATAGCCAGCTAATTGGAGTAAACGCAATAACTGGCTGGGCATGTCTTTGCAAATCAGGTGCACGAGTTTTAGGAATGTGTGGACATGTCTGCTCTGTAATATGGTATTTGTCATACAGAATTGGTTATCCGTCAAGAGATATGGCAAATAATTTAAATGGCGTGGCTATTGCTAGACCACTTTAATAAGTTTGTTTTTGCTTTAATTTGGTTAAGTAGATAGTATTTAATCAAAGCCACTTTAATGTTGGTATTTAGCACGGTCTTTCTGAACACATTAAACTCTAAATGAAATGTTTTTCATAGATCTTTTCAAAAATATTTAAGTTTGTTTTGTTTTGGTTTGTTAATTATATTGTAGTACACCAGTGGGATATAATTCTTGCTTTTTTCTTAGGTGTCATTGGCATTGCTATAATTATTACCCTCATATTGTTTGTAGGCTTTGTTACTGTCTCCCTGCTCCACTATGGGGACAGCACTGTTAATTAGAAACCAAAGTGAATACTTAAGCGGGGAATTACCGTCAGGCTATGCAATTTAATTTTTAATTTCAGAAAAATTAGACAGAAACTTGGCACCCGATTGAATCTGAACCCGGATCGCCCAGATCCAAAGTCTCAAGCTCTACCCACTGCACTACCCCACCCCGCTTCTCGTAATTTTGTAAAAATGTCATAGATTTTCTAATGGTGTTTGGGTACTTCTTGTTTAGGTACTTCTTAGGTTCGTACAAGATAGGTTTTCTAATAATGTTTAAGAGCAAAAATCTACATAGTTATTTTAAAAATTTTCTGTTTTAATTAATAAATTATTTATATTTAACTTCTGTTTTTGTCTCTGTAGCTACTATATATATAGCATTACATTACTTGATGCAGGCTTTTTTTAAAGAACTTTTGTACTGACCACTTGCGGATCACCACCATTAGACACCAATTTCCAAAATTTAATAAAAACCGAAAAGAGTGCAGTTACAGGTGATTAAATAGAAACAAAATCGTAAAAGTAAACCTTTCTGTTGGCTGATTTTTACTGACATCGATCTTTAATTCTTTACCTTTATCGCCTGATTGCGTCTGATTTTATTGCTATCACACCAAGAACTTTTAAGATGTTCAAAACCTCGCCTTTCTCTCTGTATTTTCGAGATAAGTCCATCACGCAGTCTGCTACACTAACTAGGTACTCTTATTTCCATAGTAATGTGGTCTTATTTGCATTACCGCTACCATCTATGTATTACGTCGAAACCCTGGATACGCACATAAGCTTTGTTGCCAAAATGTTTATTTTATCATTATTTTGTCTTCAAAAACTAGAGCTTTTTTGAAGATGTTCCGGAATGGTTTGAATGTTAAAATTTTCGGAAAAGTTTCTTTTTTATATATCTATAAGTGTGCAAAATCTTATGTCCGGGAGCATGGGACCCAGAAAAGCATATCCTCCTTTTATTAAAATAGTTTTGGATATTTCAATAATACCATTCAGTACACAAAAGAGGTTGGCAAATATAAAAACATTGAAAAAATTAATAACTTTAGAAAATAAACCACCAGGATTTAGTTTTGACAACATAAGCCTATAGATTATGTCCCAAAAATGAGGGCAATAAGGAACTATCACCATGGCGAGATTTTATCGCATGAATCGTTCAAATGGCCCATTAAAGATAAATAATTAATGAACACTTAATGTCAAATTAACTTTTTTTAACCTGAATAAACTTCCAATCTCCATAAATAATATAAAATTATACCTTTATTGCAAAAAAGACAATTATAATATTTTCGATTGTAAAAAAGAATTTTTAAGAATAATTAGTTGTGGCTTTGTTTATAAGTCGAAGAAAGTTTTACGTATTCGTAAAAATACTTTTTTTAATAAATAAAAATCAATTTTAAAAAATAGGAACTAAAACGATATCAAGGTAAAGCGATAAAAATTGAAAAAAATAGCTAAGTTTGAGCGGCTATATCTCAGTCCTTTTTCATCCAAAAAACTTTTAAAACCCACCATTTTAAAGGAAATGTAATCCACTTTTTCTTTTATAAAGCAATGTCTATACCTATCTATTTATAGAAAGCGCGAAAACCAAAATAGTAAAAAAAGTCGTTTTTAGCTTTTTTGAATTCTACATAAATGTATATTTTTTTTTAAAAACTATTTCGAAATGAAATAATATTCTCTAGAAAAACTTTTCTATTAAGGCTGGGTTTACGGTAAAATTGGCGCGAACAAAATGCGTATAAAAACATCGACCCTGGCCGTTCCAATTCGTTTAAAAAGTAAATGATTTTGTGGGTTCTCAAATTAGTTGGGAATAGTTGAAGGTATAATCTAAGTTGCAATATAATTTATATACCGAAAATCAACTGAAAATTATTTGGAACCCACGGGATCCAAACCATAAAAACAGAAACTTAGTTCATGATGCCTGGAGGCGAATTGAAGAGCAAATGAGCGTAAAATGTTCAATCGCAGATTAAAAAAAAAAAAAAATACATTAATGGGAATCTTTCGGAAACTTTTCGACAAAAGTTTTTAAAAGAGCATGAGGGTTCTTGGCGTAAATCTTCTAACATGTCTGTGGCACTGTACCTACAAATGATTAAAAGAAAACTATAATATTTGCAGCAAAAAGATTAAAATTACAAATTATTCCAAAGTTTATTTTTTATGACTGTCAGACTATGTCTATTATTCCAAGCCTTTTCCAAATGTGTGTAAAATAAGACTCCCATTTTTTTGGTTTCTGAACCAAATTGCAAATTGCAGTCGTAGAAAAAATTTAGTATATAACGCTTGTGAACATCAGTTTTTAACACTTGTTGCAAAATATTCTATAATGTACTTACCTATCTCGATTTCTATACAAAGACAATCTCCACCATCTTCTTTGTTTTAGTTTTATTTTTTGTTCTCTTGCCATCCTGTAAACCCCTAACATAAAATAAAAGGCTGAGGCAGCAACAATACGCGTCAGCTCACGGTTCATATTTTCATGCAATTAATCAAAATTATGAATTTTTTATCGCCAACACTGCCTTCGTAAAACAGACTGCAATAGGCGCGTGTCCACATCTGCGCGATCCTCATGCGCCGTGGGAACGGTCCGACCGTTGAGACTCAACTCACAACCCAGGATTGCCATTCCACGCGCCGAGGAGTGCCGCTCCACGCGCCGTTGGATCCCGGCTTTACTGTTATTGTAATGCTATTTTATGTAACTCGTGCCGCAAATATTCACTCATTACATAAAATAAGGCATTTCGTAACCGGTTTCATAAATATATTATAGAAGCTCCTGCTAATAACATAAATAACAGTAAAGAGTTTAATAAATTGTTAATTTTGTAGAATTATGGTTTGAAATATTATTAATTGTTTAAATAAATATAGCTTTTAAATAGATTCGATTGCCCTATTCTGTGGGTAATGATTTCAAATGTTTTTAAAAATGAAAAATAATTAAAATTAATACCAAGACGTAAAATAAAATAAACAAACTTAAAACCGTATTCCACACAAAATACGAATGTTAAAATTAAAATTTCAATCTCTGCTGTTTTTCCTTTATATATAATTAAATACCTGTTGCGGTATTAGCCAAAGGAGTAGTTGTTTTCCGAAAGAAAACAGTCGCTCGTATTTTGTGTGTCATATAGCTTTGTATTTATTTATTTGATTTTAAAACATTTATTATAGAAACGATGCGAATTTCAAAATGTATCAATTACTTATTTTTTATTGAATATTATAAGAAAAACGAAAATAATCAACAGAAGTA